GGCCCACTCTCGGACCCAGGAGCCCTGCCGCTCCCGGAGAACTGGCTGCCTGGGCGCAAGGCGCGGGGGGCTGGGGCTGAGTCCTAGTGTTAACAGCAGCAAAATGATGCTGTTTCAGAAAGTCAATCTGTATTTTACTGTAAGTTAATTAATAAGCAAATTCCATGCCTGCCACAGTATACTTTGTGGAGGGCACTTTGTTATTTTCAGAAAATAGTGTTAGGAGCACACAAACTTTCGTTTTTGATAAATCTGTTGACACTGGCTACTGTCTCCTCCACAGAAATATTACTATAATTTCCAGATTTGGTTATGCCTCACTTTCCTTAGCTCCAAAGTGATGATGGTAGTTTGAACCTTGTAAGGTTACACCAGGGCAGTGGTGGCCAATCTATAGCATGCATAGTACTTGCTTTTCTTTTGAGAGAAGATGTTAATGTATGGGTGGTTTTTCCTAAACAAAAATATCAGTAGTCAGGATTAATTATAATATTGGCACTTTTTAACAACTAAATAGCTTTGGACTGCAGCTGGGGCATTAATCTCTAAAAGCTTCACCTCACTGCACTAAGCCATATGTTGTATGAGAGAAACTTTCTTTTGCTTTCTATTTCATTCATTTTCCTTTTCTTTTTTTTGGTTTTTCTCTGGTACCGGGAACTGAACTCACGACCTTGCGCTTGCTAGGCAGGCGCTTTTGCCACTGAGCTAAATCCCCAGCCCCTCATTTTCCTTTTCTATTTAATTCATCTTCACATCCTCAGGGCTAAACTACACATAATATAGATTCAGCAAATATGGAATTAAAGAATTTGGGATATTATTTTAAAAATCTTTGCAGCATTTACAACTAAATGGTTGAAATGTAATAAAATAATTTGCTATTGCTTTTACAAACTGAGGAGTTTAAAAGCCATTTCGATGTGGCTTGAAAATGAAAAAGATTTCACTGAATCTGCCTCCCTACTGTTGAAATTCCACCAAATATATATTTACTAACTTCAATTTTAAAAGGCATTAAAATTTATAGAGGCAAAAGAAGTCTTCAAGAATTTCTCATAGGGCATAGCCCCATCTATTTAAACAGGTGGTATTTAAAGCTACTGTCTAGTGCCCAGAAGGTGAGTAGGTAGCCCCTCTTTCTGGTACATCCCAATCTCAATATTTAAATATCATCTTTACTTTTGTGTGAGCTGAATTTGTGAACTTTAGAAGAATTTGTGACAGTTAAACACTCTATGAAGATGGCAGATGTCCAACCTCTTTGTGGTTGAGTCAGGGCTTGAGCTTCTGTCCTCTGCTCTTACTATTGTGGAAAACAGATCTAAGGAAAGATGAAAACTCTATCAGAGGAAAGGGAGTGACTGAGTTGTAGGGATGATGTAAAACAATGCAGGACCCAGGGACTGCTGGGCTGTAGCCAGCAGCAACTTGGAGTCATGCAGGACAGGGCCACCTGGAAGAATCTTCTTCAAAGCAAAGGATACAGAGAAGAGGAGGAAGACATGCGGGAGGAACTCTTGTAGTGTCAGTCCTTTTCATCACAACTTACCCACTGAGAAAGGTAGAAAGGATTCTCTTTTCTTAAACTGTCCGTTCTCCAGAAAATGCTCTGGGTTGAATGTGTCTGGAGTGGCCCACTCCGTGGGGTCCCTGTGCAGTGCAGTCAAATTGGTCAGAACTATGGTCCCCTAGAAAAAGCAGGAGAAATTCAGGCAAGGCTTCACCCATGCAACACACTCATGCAGAGGGACAGGGTCTTTGGCTCTCAAGCTGATAGCCTTAGCTCCTTTATGCTGGCAGGTCCAGGCTCACTTGAGCTCAATCTCTGGGGTTATATATATTTATAGAACCTCTGGGTTTATAGAATCTCTGGGGTTATATATATTTATAGAACCACTCAGAAGGACAAATTGATATTGCTTGTCAGGAACGTTACAGGGAAGTTATGCTACTTTGGGTGTAGAGTGGATTTGAACTACAGACACGTTAGTGTAGGTTTAGGAAGGGCCATGTAGGTATTGAGGAGAGAGCAATGTGACAGCTAGTCAGTCCCTCCTGTAACCAAATCATGTGGTTCCTCAAGCATGCGATCACCACAGCAAATCTACAGAGGGAGAAGACACCAGCTTCTCTTTCACTTCTCCGTTCACTTCCCTCCAGTATCAACTGCTCTCCCTACTCACAACAGGGTTAGTAACACTAACAGGTTGCAGGAGGAGAAACCTCTGCACCTCCACATACATGCAAGAAATCCTGGAGGCAAGAGAGCGAACCTTTCCCTCACGCTGCTTCTTCTGACCACCAGTGAGGCCGGTCAATTTACAAATCTGTTAATTCTGTCACCTCCATTCCCTGTCCACAACACGGTCCTCTTTGAGGCTGCTGCCTTGTCCACCTAGACTTTTGGAATGTCTCCTAGCATGCGGCTGCCACCCCTTTCAATCTACTCCATGTTCTGGGAGCTGAGTGTGCTGTAACATGACTTAATGATGTCTCATTGCACATACATTCACCCTCAAACTTGATACTCTTGAATAGCTTCCTGACACTCTCAGATCACAGACCATCCATCAGACTCACAGGGGCCCCCTCCTGTGTTGCCTGGGGTATTGGTTACTGTTTTTCTTGCTGAGATAAAACACCTACACCCTATGTTAGAGAAGGAAAGGTTTATTGTAGTTCAATGTGTAGAGATTTTAGTCCATAATCAACTGGGTCAAAGGCAGGGTGGCATGGCAGAGGGACATCGCAGAGTGGGCAGGAGGCATGAGAAGAGAATCAGCAGCAAGCAATGCCAGCATCCCTCTTTCTGTCCCTGATATTCTATCCCAGCTGCTGGCCCTTAGGGTGGGTAGCACTCACACTCATGGGTGGGGAACCCTTAATCCCAGCATCACAGACCTCCAAAAAACCAAGCTGTGTCTGCACGAGGCTTTTGGAAAGCATTTAGATATAAGCCATAATACTGGCGCTCCCCCTAACGTGGCCTGCCTCCAGTTGTTCTAACAGACCATGTTCACATAATATATATCTTGTGGAAAAGGTTCTTCTGCTTTCCTTTCCATAAACTAACTTCTAGCCACTCTTTAATTGGTGGATCCAAAGTCACTCTCTTCTAAAGCCTCTCCTCATCATGTCATCTGGTTGCTATTTGTCACTCTAGCTGGAAGATGCTGAGAGCATCTTTATAGAACAAGTGAGAGTTTTCTTTTGGGCAATCATGATTTCTAAGGTATTTGCATCTTTATTTTGCTCAGGGTTGTTTTTCCGATCCAAATGTTTTACAAACTTAATGCACACTTATTGAGTTACTAATAAGTAATGTTGAGGCATGTGATCTGCATGTAAGATCACATTTAACCTCTGGTCAGACACTGTGGGGGTAAGTAGGTGAGTTTAAATGCATTCGACAGGTGAAGAAACTGAAGCCGTGAAAATTACAGTGTACCCAGAGTTACAGACTAGGCAAACATACAGCCATTTCTTGAACGAGGCCTGTCTGATGTCAAAGCCATGGATCCTGACCTAGGTGCAATTAGATTTCTTAGCATGCAGGATGGTTATTAAACCCAATGCTAAAAATTAGTAGTAAAAGCAATCTAGTGAGATGTCCTGGTGCTGTGGAGGTTTATAAATGGTTAGAAAAATACAAACAGTGCCTGGCATCTTCAGACTTCAGCCACCACCCAGGAGATGCTCAGTTAAAAAGGAAGCACTTCCTGGTTCTGCAGTGGCACTACCTAGAAGTGTAGAGTAGGAAAGCAGTCTGGTTATACCACTGGAGATTGTCCCTGAGTAAATCCCATTCAGAGAGACAGACAAACTAGGACCCACACAGGCTTAGGAAGGTGGCCAGAGAACAAAAGAAGACATCCGAAATGTGCTTTGTGGATAGAAGACACCAGGGACACAGACGAGCTGACTGTGGAGAACTTAAAAGTAGGCAGCATGAGATGAGAATTCTGTTTGTGAACACAGGAAATTAACAGGGGCCAATGGAGAAAAACTGAGGAAGATTATTTTACAGTCACATAAAAGTAAGTCCTGAGAAGCAGCATTGTGTAGTAAAAATGATTAGCATAGAACTGGTTCTGGATCCCAACTTTTGTCATTTTATAGCTGAGAGTTCTGCAAAACTATTTTTCCTGAGCCTCAGCTGAATCTATAAGATGGAAATAAAAGTTACTATGAGAACTAAGATATTTTGGAACAGGCTAGTAGTATAATACACATAATTATTCCTTATGAAGTGTTTTGCCTTTCTCTCCTTTTAAAATAATTAATACTGCAGACCTGCAACTGGCTTCCTTTCTTAGACAAAATTCCCCACCACTGGGCTGTAAGTTGAAGTAATGCTGGTCGGGAAATTATGTTAGAACCAGAAGTGTTAGCGTGAGTTGAGATCTGAGTGTCTCAAATGTCCTTTCACATTTCACATTCTATAACTATACGATTTTATGAAAGAATTTTCCAAACTATGTCTGACATGTTACAGAAGACTGGGCAGGGGAGTGGGTCACTGGGAGTGTGACCTGGTAGGGTATGCCTCCCTCTCTCCTTTGATTTCTTTCTGCTTCCCACAATGCCATGAGCTGCTTCTCCTCTACTATGGACCTGTCACACCACCCTGCCTTGGAGACACCTACCCTGGATTGAAACCTCTACAAATTCTGTGCCAAAATAACCCTTTCTTCCTTAAATTGTGGAAGTGAGGTATTAAGACAAGCAGATGTGATACATCACTCTGCTCATGTAAGTGATTCCTTAGGACTGGAACACACTGCACAGTTTCCTAGGGTGACCTCAAAGAGGGGCTTCAGGAGAAAGGCTGAGAGTGCCTACTTACCTTTGGCAGGTGGTATCCCCCAAAAGTGGTATCAACAGCCATTTCCCTGGGAACATTCAGAGGAACGATGTTGCCCATTCTTTGCACCTCATGGATGACAGCATTGGTATAGGGCATGGACTCTCTGTTGGCCAAGCTTGGCTGCTGCCCCTGACCAATAACTCTGTCAATCTCAGCATGTACTTTTTCTGAAAGAGACAGGGGTTCAATTGTTTCTTAAAATATTATGATTTCTTATATAGACATGGGAATCGTCTCTGAGAGCTTACTTGTAACTACTGTCAGTCTGCAAGTCAACAAAATGGATCTTATCCTTTTCAGGGCTTATTTAGAAAATTGCTAATGCTCGAAATTTCCTTAAGCCTGGGTGGCCTATGGAACTGGATCAGCACAGCTAAATTCATAGTGGGGTCAATTCTTATTGAGGCTGCTATACTAAAGTTCCATAAAGTGTCTGGATTACAAACCACAGCATGCTGTTTCTCAGTTCTGTAACCTGGAAATCCAATATCAGTTCCCCAGCAAGCTTAGTGCCTCGTAGGACCATATTCTCATTCATGGATTTTAGCTTTTTGCTGCCTGCTGTCATGTGGCAAGGAGCAATGCTTGGCTCTGAAACCTCTTTTTTTTTAGAGAACTACTCCTAATCATGGGAGTTAATCACACTAAAGGTCCCCACTTCCCAATACTATCACATTTTTAAATAGATTTCAACACCTGCATTTCATGGGAGGACACAAACCATCAGACACAGAAGCTCTGTAGACTCATAACTTCTCAAGGAGATATATAAGTCGAAGGTGAACAGTAAATTCCTGGTCTACAACATAATTGCAGCAAACTACTGAAAGTCTTTCAGTCTCAATTTTCTTGTCTCATTCATTTGAGGGATTCTTTGAGATTTACTTGAATTGATTTAGGTGAGAATCCAAAAAAACACTGTGGTGGATTAACTACTGGTCAACTTGTAACACCAGGTTGAACTGAATCAGTGTAGTTCGGGGTGTGGAAGGCCCCACTGTGGATTGTTGCCCCAAAACATAAAAGGAGACCTAGAGGGGAAGATGATGTGCTATTGACTCTTCTGGAGAAGCTTGTCATACTGGTTTTCTTGATATGATCTTGGCTGTTCTCATCACTAGAGGGGCTCAGGTTCTTACTGTTGCTGAGGATCACTACAGTTCTCTTTGTGGGAGATATGGTCCTTACTTTCAGCACCATTTCCTGGCTCCAGTGCTGATCCCTCAGCCTGCTGGCACAGATCCTTCATTCCACTGGTGCAAACTTTCTGGCTTCTACCACTGACCTTTGGGCCTTCCCAGTGCAGATCCTTGATCTAGCCTTGCATGAGACATTGTACTGGGCCTCCTGCAGGACTCATAGAGGACATTGCCATGGGCTCTAGTCTTCAGCTAACTTGTTCAGGACATTGCTGTGAGATCCAGGCCCTCAGCTAGATTCTTTGGGTCTCTAGTGTATGGATAGATCTCCCATACTCTTTTGCATTTGACTCTTTGGGTGAATATTAGTAAATAATTCTATGAATAATGTGTCTTGTATCAAATCTTATCCCTGGTAAACCCTGACTATTAACAATGATAGAAATTGCTACCTACCACCCAATATGTTCTCTTCTCTTTATGCAGTAATAGGGATTTCACATGAATATCTGGTTATCTAGTTGAAAATTACATTTCCCATATTCCCTTTTGACAAAATGTGACCATGTCACTAAGTTCTGGTGAAGTAGGAGAGATGTTCAGTCCTTGGAACAAGCCCTTCAGCGAATGATATTCATTGCACTGTCCTCTTTCACATCTCAATGTGGGAAGGCAGTCTTCCTGGTGAGTGTATTACAGAGAAGAAAGATCTCATTCTAGACACAACAGGGTGACATTTAAAAAGATGTTTGGAACTTCCAGGAAGATGGTAGAGTGCTGAGTAGCACAGAAAGAGCCTCTGGGATTTGGTGTCCAGACACTGGAATATAGCGACATGAAGAAGAAAAAGAGAGAAGTGGATCCCTAGGATACAGAGAGGATGTGAAATGAGAATTAAAGCCCATGGAGAGCAAAGAAGGAAACTTCAACAAAGCAAAAGGAGATGAGAGCCACTGTTTTCTCTCCAAACCTGGACTCAATGTGTGGGAGGGGAAATTCAAACTTGCAGGTTCTTGGTGACAACTGGTGACCCCAGAGGCCTGTACAGAGAAATACACTAGTGAAATGGAATAATGGACACAGTGGAATGCAGTATCTTGTGAGCTATTTGGGTTCAGATGTCCCCCAGGAGAGGGTGATTGGCCAGTAGCCAGCTTGGAGAGATTCTAATGGAGCTCAGAACTCAGAATAGCTGCAGGCTCCATCTAGTAGCTCCCAGGGAGAGGGTGAGGCTGCCAGGTTCAAATCAGCAGGAGGTCAAGGAGATGAGTTCAAGCGGGCAGCATGCACATAGACTGTTAAAGCTGAACAAATCTGGTTCCAACATCAAAGCAAGAAATAAGACTGAATTTCAGTGGAACTATGGTGCAGGCTTGCAGGGATTATCCATTACTCTGCCATAAAGCTACACCTGACTTGCTTGGATAAATCAACTTAGATCTGGACTCTGTCTATCCACATTGTCTACAGCAGAGGCATGCCTCAAAGTGGATATTCTTGCTTGTTTTTTTAGTTTTGCTTCTTGATCGTTTGTTCTTATTTGTATATGAGTGTGAACATGCCTTTTCTAGTTTTTGTGTTTTGTTTTTGTTTTATTTCTTCCTTCTCTCTCTCCCTTCTGTCTTCTGCATCAGTTTCCCAAAGTTTCCATGATCTTCCTTTGTCCTCCAGCCTTGCTTCTAATCTCTTTTTCTTCTATTTTGTTATCTTTCCCCCAAACCCTTTTACTTTTCACCCCTGAGGGTAAAATCACCTTATTGAGCACATCTTTGATGTATACAGTTTTCTGGTTTAGATTTTGTTAGATTTTGTTTAGATTTTGTTATTTAACCACAAGTCTAGTTCATATGGTTAAAGGTGGCAGTTTAATACTTAATGTAGTTTCTCATTCTCCAAGCTGTTTGATGCTATTGTTATTGTTGATTGTAACACTGACTAACAAGACTGTTCTAATCAGTTATTCTTCCTGATGTACCAAGACTGAGATTTTGTAAGGGTCATTCATAATACTGTGGGCCAGTGTTAAACAACCAGGGTCTGGGCCAAGTAGGAAGCAACTTATCATCAACGATAAATTGAAGAGGTAAGATCTTGAAACAGACTCAAAAACCAAAACCAGCTACACCTGGAAGACACTTCTGAGAAGTAGGCATTTCCTAAGGGTTCTAAATACTAGCAATAAAGCAACTCACCATAGTAATTTACAAGCATCACTCCAAGAGTCAAACTAAAACACAGAAAATGAGACGACAATTAAACAAGATGCAAACCCTGACTTCCAGCTCACCAAAGGCAAATCCAGTGGGCAATAAGGTGAAAAAAATCTAAAATCCATGCACCTCGACATTCTGAAGTGGTAACAGTGGAAGTAACAAAGCAGATGAACAAAAACAAAATCTAGAAAAAAATTAAATCAGAAACAATATCTCAGAAAACTACAAAGATTGTGACTATAATGAAAGATTGCTAAGTGACTTTAAAGCAGATACAGATTAAAAAAATAGTGAAGCTAAGGAAAATGATGGAAACCATGATTATTTAACCATGAAAGAAATGGAACCTATAAAACAGATTCAAACAGATATTCAAGGAGATTAAAAATTCCATTGAAAATATATGCAGCAAAATCAGTCAATGTGAGGGCAGAATTTCAGGTATAGAACACAAGATTGTGATTTGTGATCATGGAAAGAAAGATTTCTCTTTTTTTTTTCTTTTCATTTGTCTTTTTTGAGATATGGTTTCACCATGTAGTTCAGGATGGCCTTGAACTCAATTTGTATCCCAGGTTGGCCTCAAATTCATAGGCTCCACCTACTTTAGCCTCCCAAGTGCTGGGATTAAGGGTTGCACCACCATGCCTGGCAAGACTTCTTGAAAATAGCAAGGGATCATGAACATTCGATTCAGCAGAAGCTAGATTATGCAAAGAAGAAAAGCATAACAAATGATCACAGTCAGTGAAAAAGCAAGAGATAGCACAAATGACATAAAAATCATGTTTGCAGAAGTCATGGCAGAAAACTTCCCAAACAGGAATAAAAATACATGAGGCATATAGAAATTCACTTAGCCGTGATCAAAAAATATCTACACCAAGTCATATAACAGTTAAGATCCCAGAAATTCAACAAAGGAACAGAATAGTAAAAGGCGTTAGAGAAAATAAATCACCTGAAAGAAAAACCCACCAGAAAGAAAGAAGGAAAGCAATATATCCGGGATAACTGTACTGTGATATCTGGTGGTTTGTTGAAAGGAACAGTTAATGCTTAAAACTTTTTATGTTTTGACTAATTTTCAGTGCTTATATCTGGTAATCTGAGCCACTGATTTGAAGACAACAGTATGCAACAGAACAACCACTGGTGAATTCCTATCATCTTGTCTAGTAAAAATCTGTATTGTCCCTAATGTTTTATGTAATAATTATTATTTTATTCTCTTTAATGGCTTGAACAATTTTCCATTCTTACATCTGGTAATCTGAGCAACTTACTTGAAGATAACAATATGTAGTATAACAGGCACTGATAATTCCTATCATTTTGTTTTGAAATCCTGTATCATTTTTAATGTTCTTGCTTTGTTTTTTTTATGTCTGTGATGTTGGCATTTTGCTATTGTTCTTTTTTTACTACTTTCTGTAGAATAAGGAAAAAATAAAATAAAGAAAAGCCTATCAGAACCACAGCAGTCTTCTAACATACACCCTCAAGTCAAATAGACCTTGAAGTTAAGTATTTCAAGCGCTAAAAGAACAAAACAAACTTCAACCCAGATTGATGTACCCTGCAAAACTATCTTTCAAACTGATGGATAAATAAGACATGCTCATGATGAAGAACACCAAGAAAATTCATGAACACCAAATCAGCACTCCAAAGTGCTCTGAAGGACATTCTACAAAGAGATAGCAAGGATTACAATTCCATGAACTCCAAAAGAATGAATCCATCAGCCAAGGCAAGCAATTAAACAGAGTAGAAAAAAGGGGGCCAAGAAAAGGAAAATAATGTGACAGAGATAAGTCAGTACATACCAGTTGTAACCATTCAGTGATAATGGTCTCAATTCACCAATCAAAAGAAACAGACTGGTAGAATGGATCAAGAAGGAAGATCTAACAATATACTGCATATAAAAAATACATTTAACTCAAAAAGAAATTTCTAGACTGAGAGTTAAAGGATGGAAAACAATACTGTATGTGACAGGCACCAAGATAAAGCTATTCTATTTGCAAACAAAGTGGATTTCAAGCCAAGACTGATTAAGAGAGACAAAGAAGTCACTACATCCTTGTAAAGATAACAATCCAAAAGGAAGAGATAACAATCATAAAAAAAATGTGCAAAAATACCAGTGCATACAGCTACATAAAACAAGTATTAACATACATAAAAATCAAATAAGCACTAATACAATCCTATGTGGAGATCTCAAAACCCCATTGTGACAAATAGATCAACCAGGCAAAATATCAGCCATGAAATATTAGAACTGCACAAAACTTTTGAGCAAATGGATTAGGAGATGTCTACAGATTGCCCACTTCACAACATCAGAATCCACATTCTTCTCAGTTGCACACTGGACTTATCCAAAATAGACCACTTACTAACATATAGAACATGCTTAGGTAATGCTAAGGAATTGAAATTATTCCATGCATCAGACCATACTGTGAGTAGGTTGGAAATCAGTGGCAAAAGAAACCACAAGAACTTCACAAACACATAGAAATTAAACGAAACCCTCCTGAATAACCAAGGAATCATATACAAAATTAAGGAAGAAATTAGTTCCTACAATTAGTAATGCCAGTACAACATTATAGAACTTATGGGACACAATGAAAGCAGTCCTAAGAGGAAAATTTATAGTGCTGATTACCTATATCATGAAAATAAACAATCTCAAACAACCTAATGTTGCACCACTAGAAAAAGAAGAGCAAGTCAAGCCCAAAGGTCATATGAAGATGGAAATTATAAAGATCATAGCATAAATTAACACATTAGAGACTAAGAAAATATCACAATCAATGAATTGAAGAGGTGGTTATTTGAAAGATTAAATAAAATAGAGAAACTCATAGCCAAACTTATCAAAAGAAAAAGAAAGAAAAGACTCGAGTCCATGCAATTAGGAATGAAAATGATAAAATCAGGATAGCTCCTACAAAAATCCAGAACATCATCAATACTTACTTCAAGAACCTGTATTCTAATAAGATGAAAAATACAGAATAAATGGACAGATTCATAGATACATTGGAAATTACCAAAGTTAAGTAAAAAGGTATAAAGAACTGAAATACACCAATATCTGTCAATAACTGAAGCTGTAATTAAAAACCTACCAAACAATGAAAAGCCTAGGCCCTGAAGCATTTACTGTTGAATTATACAAAAGATTTAATTTAATAGCTAAATCTTGGAAACAACCCAAATGCCTATTAACTGCTGTATGGATAAAAAAGATGTGTGTTTTAAATATAATGGACTACTGGTCTTCCATAAAGAAGAATAAGCTTGAGATATTTCTAGGTAAATGGATACACTTTGAGACAGTATTCTTAAGTGAAATAAATCAGAAACACATATGTAAATACTGCACTGTTTCTGTGGTGTGATGACTCAAAAGTGTAAATAAAGATCAAAATGCATAATAGATATTGTGAAATGGGAGAAAAATTTCAAACCAGAAGGGTAACTAGGGAGGGGAAAGGGGAAAGAAAGGAAGGGAAAAGAAAAATGAGAAAAGAAGGGAAAAGTGGAAACAAAGATTTTATATAAAAGGAGGGGGAGAGGGGTTGAAGGGAGCACAGCAGAATAAGAAATAAATAATCAAATTATGTTATGTATAAGTACAATTTCCCTACAATGAATGTGGTCATTCAGTATACCTAAAATGTACCAGTAAACTTAATTAATTTAGAAAATAAGGGAGAAAAAAACAAAGAAAGCTACGAGGAATCCAAAGGGCTTTACAAAGCTTACAGTTCCTTTATCTGAAAGAAACACTCAACATTTCTTTACAGTCCACTTTTAACTAAATTAAATTGGGGAACCATATTTTTAATTAGAGAAAATATATACAATATAAAATGCATCACTGAAATAATTTTAACTTATAATTAATTCATTTTAAATATATTCACTTGCTGTGCAATTAATCTCTAAATTTTTTCATCTTGCAAAACTGAAACTATATTCATTAATAGAAACCTCATTGCCTCCTTTCCCAACATATGACTACCACCATTGTCACTACAAATTTGACAACTCTAAATGACTCATATAAGTGTAATCATGCAGCATTATACTATTGCAACTAGTTTAATAACAATGCTCTTGCTATAGTATACCTTAGAATTTCATTCCTTTTTAAGGTTGAATACTACTGCATTCCATGTATATTTCACATTGTGTTTACTCATTCACTGTTGATGAGCACATGGGTTACTTTCACCTCTTCCTAATCGAAAACTGAGCTGCCATGAACATAAGGGTAAGCTTCTATAATTTAAGTGGCTCTTATTTTGTATCCTCTATTCCTGAAGCCCAATTTACATCTGTGGTCGTTAATTGTGATATATCAACTTGACTTTAGTAAGAACCACTTAGCAGGTTAATAAAACACACTTCTAAATGTTCCTATGTATGATTGACATATAGGCTAGCAAACAGAGGGAGGACAACCCACCCTGGATAGAATGGAAAAAGGAAAAGAAGAAGAAAGTGTCCCCATTTTGGAAGAGTTCAAGTCTTTGTTATTGCCTTTGGACATGAGTCTCCAATTTCTTCAGCCTTCCAATGCAGACTTACAGTGGTGACTCTACAGCAGGATTCTAGGACTTTGCTTTTTCACTGGTTTTGCATCCTTGATCCCTCTTGTTGTGAGGCTTCCATCTTCTCCAGTCAAACAGATACCGGACCCTGTGATTTTCCAGCCTACTCATGGTCTCTGTGAATTCTTGTGCATCTGATCCTGTAAGCTCAGCTAATAAATCCCCTTGTATAATTATACATATATTTTCTATTGATTTTGTTCCTCTTGAGAACCCTAATGCAACATCTTAACTTTCCATCATGATTCAAGATGCATTTACATAAATATACATATAAAGCATAAATTTAAATGAATATATGAAAGAGTTAATATAAAGAAATTTATCAGCATGCATGGGAAGCACTCCAATCCCATCTATTCTGTTTATCTTAGGGAAAAAGTTAGTGTTGGTCCCCAAAACTTGTTTTATGCCTCCACAATTTGAAAAACTACAGTTTCCATCCAACACCTGCTCAAACTGTTGAAAACTGTGTGAACATAAATGATGGTAACAGCCACTGTCCGTGAAGAGATGACAGTGTGCAGGAGAGTTATAAGAATAGTGTGATAAGCACATCAGTTTAGTTGCATTAAGTAATTTCTGGAATAGGAAAATGCTAATAATTTCTAAGCCAGTAATGTCATAGAATAGTGGAGGATATTGAGATCAATAATTTTATTCTGTGAAAACACTGGGGAAGTACCTTCATGGTACAGGGAAGAGCAGATGTCAGGCTGAGGGCGTGAATAAGAGGAGTGACAAGAGAATGAAATGCACTTAGGGAAGCCCCCATCACCACAATGGGGATGAGGCTGTGCAGGCAGAAAGGGGACACATTAGAGGTCACCGCATTCCACACTAAGGATTTGAAGGGACAGCAACCAGTAAAGGGAAAGGAAGGCTATGAACATATTTTTATCTGAGACTGAGTCTTCCCTGGAATTTAGCACAATGTCAGTGTACTTCACTGTTTCCCCTGGACTCAAAAATCATGCCGGGCAGGAACTCACTGCAGCATTTGTACTACCTGGACCAGTCACAATGCTGATTTTTTTTTTTTTTTTTTGTCTTTTTGACACAGGGTCTTCCTCTGCAGTTCAGGCTGGCCTTGAGCTCACTTGGTAGCCCAGGCTGGTCTCGAGCTCACAATGATCCTCCTGCCTCAGCCTGTGGAGTGCTGGGATTACAGGTGTGTGCCACCATGCCCCACTTGTTAAAATCCTGAGGGCAGACTTGAGGCATGTGCCTATGTCACCTTTTGACTGTGCTCCCTATCTTTCCATGCTTCCATGTTATCCTACATTCTACATTCCAGGAGCGCCATTTGCTCTGATCAGGAGCACGTACTGTGTGCTTACCTTGGACTTCCGGGTAGAGGACCATGTAAAGCAGACCCCAGCGCAGTGTCGTGGATGTCGTTTCGGTCCCAGCAATAAAGAGGTCCAGGGTGCTGCAGATGAGGTTTTCTTCATCAAAACTTGAAGTGCTCCTGTCTGGGTGCTAGAAAGGACAGTTTTTATTAAAAATTCATTCAGAGAATCTGTGTTTGCCATCACACAGCAAAAAGTTTGAAGGAAACAGCGAAGAGAAGCTATAATGCTTTCAACTTTCTCAAGAAGCAGCAATACCATTAGTGTCCAGCTGCCCTTACTGCAGGAAGTTAAAATAAATTCTCCAGGATTCAGTGTGTGAAAAAAAGTCAACTGAGACCACACAGACCTGTGCATAGGTCTTGCCTACGTCAGCAAACAGACCACAGGCAATCCACCCATAGCATCCACCAACTTCTAGCTGGGGCAGCAGAAGACTGGACTAACTGATCAATCTGATCCAGGATGAAGACAATGCCCAAAGGGAGAAGGGAGCAACAAGACCAAAAGTCCACTTGAACCCCAGCCCCTCAGCCTACTTCTAACAGAGACCAGAGGAATGATAACTTTTTGCACCTACCAGTGTAAGCAAGGACACACCTTGGTTTGAATGGCAACCAAAGTCTGGGGAGAACAGACAGAGGGACTTTTGCACAGAAGGCACCTCAAAAACCCATAGGTCTAAAATTAGGTGGAGAAAATCCTGACTGGCTGGATTCTAATACTGCAGGTCTTGGAAAGGAACCACTCATTTAGAAACATAGTAGAATTTGTTCTTCAACTTAATCATTTAAATTTTTTTCTATCTTTAATTATTCTCTGTTTGTTTTTTGGGGGGACTTTTGCTAAAAACCTTTTTCTCTTTAGTTTTTTTCTCTCTTTCTCTCTTTTCCTCTCCCAACTTTTTTTCTCTATCTTTCATTTCCTGATTTTTTCACTCTGGTTTTTAAAATTGTTATTTTATTTTTCTTCTTGTTCATTCTTTCCTATGACTGCTTTCTAACACTATGAATTTCCTTTTACTCCTCAATAGGATGCCCTATCTCTCTTTTCTCTCCTTTATCTCAGATCACATTAACTTTTAAAATATTACTCTTTTTCATTCTCCAGCTCTGTACACCCTCTATGTTGTGGTTTGTGTCTAGACGTCCCCTCAAAGCCCTCTGAAGTTATAGGCAGGGATTTTTAGAGGTGGCTGAATCTAGAGGGTATGACACTCGGGTTGAGTCATGGTGCACTGCTAGGATCCAAGGCACTAGTATTAAGAGTGTGAGTGCTACCTGCCCTAAGCAACCTGGATAAGATAAAAGAGACAGAAAGAGCTGTGGTCATTCCTTGCTTGTTTTGCTACTTTCTGCTTGCCATGAATTATTCTCTTCTGCAAAGCCATCCTTCCTTGAAGCCAGTTGATTATGGACTGAAGCCTCTACAAACTGTAAGCTAAATAAACATTTCCTTGCTTAACTTATGGATATTGGATATGTTGTCTCAGTCATGAGAAATGAAACTAAGACATTCTCCTTTTGTAGTATAACAATTAAGCTTTATGAATCTCTAGATAGCTAGTGAAATTTATGCTACTATTTTTGAATACTGTTCTGTTGTGAGAAGAAGGAAAATTTAGTAGATATCCAAGAGATATTTAATGTGAATCAACTGTAGGTTAATATTTAGTTTGTCTTAGTGTTCACATTATAGTTCTCTTTTCTAGGGTTAAAGACAGTACATTAATGGTCCTTAGGGTTTGTCTTTAATGCTGTTACTGTTCCTGGCTTTAATACTATAGATAACATGATGTAGTTGATGCTGTTCTCAGGATACTAATATCTGGAATGCCTAGAACTCATCATTAACAATACTGTGGCCCATTAGAAGACCTGGGTACTAGACTAAATATGCTTCATTCTTTATTCCAAGATGAATGGAGGTGATTGGATCCTGGGACAGAGGCAAAGGCCAATAGTAACACTAAGAAGGAACCACTGAAGAGTAGACATTAACTAAAGAGGTTTTCACAAGAGCAAGAATGCTCACTGCTATAATCACCCCACAAGCTTCAATATAAAAAACAAACAAAAAATAGAAACAGAAGACAAGGCAACAAAATTCCTCCCAAAACCCTCAACTCCCCTAAAACTGATCCATGGGGCATCAAAGGGGAGAAAAACAAAAGCTGTACACTTGAATTATTCAAAAAAGATAACAGAGGAGATAGTAAAATAGATCCATAAAGCATTTAGCAAGATCACAAAAGACGTGAGTAAATAGATAATGGGCCACATAAACAAGATGATTGGCATGTCTACAAAAGACACGAATAGAGAGCTAGCAAGCTAAATAAAATGATGCAAAACATGAATGACCAACATAGAAAATTATTAGAATCCATAAAAAGCTTGCAAATAGAAATTAGGAGATTAAAAATTTTATTGTAAGTATGGGCAGTAGAGTTGACCTATGTGAAGACAGTGTGAGAACTAGAAGATAGGGCTGTTATGGGTGATTAATTAATGACAGATATCTTAAAACAGTAATTGAACATTAGAAAAGGATCTAAAGCTCCTACATGATGCAAAGAATAGTAATCTAAGTTTAATTATAATTAGCAAAAAATCAGCAAAAACCACAAACATCATAAATATGTGTTTACTTAAATAATAGCAGAAAATGTCACACATAAGAGAAAAGAAATTGAATATACAGAGAAGAAAGGCATATAGAACTTCAAATAGGCATGATCAAAAAAAATCATCTCTCTGAGACATGTCACAGTCAAAATCCTGGAAGTCCAACACAAGAGCAGAAAAGCAACAAACCACTCATAAGGATAAACCCATTAAAATTACTGTAGACTTTTCAATACACAACCTAAAGACCAGAGTGTTACAAGATGTAAAAGCAAACAACTTCCAGACCAGGCTGATAGATCCTTGTTATGGTTTGCATCTGGATGTTCCCCTAAAGCCTCATGCAGTCATGGGGCAGGATTCTAGAGTTAATAATTGATTCATGGTCCAATGTTGGAATTATGGGTGTGAGTGCCACATCTTCCCTAGTGCAGGTAGTTTGCATATAGTGTAAGGGAGGGAAAGTGGCTGCTTGCAGCCGCCACTGTTCCTCTTTGTTCTTGCTGCTTTTGCTATTTGCCACAGCCATGAACAGTTGCCTTCTGCCATGAGCTACCTTGCCTTGGATCCAACCACCTATGGACTGAAACCTCCACAAACTGTCAGCTAGATAAGCCTTTCTTTCCTTAATTTTGGTGTCAGTTAACTTGTCTGAGCAATGAGAAAAAAGTAACCAAGACAATCCTGCAAAAACTATTCCAGAACTGATGGGGAAATAAGCTGTTTTCTTGACAAAGACCACCTGAAAGATTCATGCCCACCAATAACTTCTTCAAAAAATTTTCAAGGAAATCCTTGTAAGAGACAAACCAACAATGCCAAAAAGTCTAATGGAATGAATACAGTGTGTGGGGGAAGGGTGGTTAGCAGTTAAGCAGGATAAAGGGGATAACAGTAGGAAAATAATGCAAGACAAAATAAGCCAGTACCTTTCAATTATAACTTTTAATGTGAATGGTCTTGATTTCCAAACAAAAGACAAAGATTGGCAGGATGAATCGAGAATCAATATCCAATGGTATGTCATGTAAAAGAAACACATTTAACCAAAATAATCTCGTAGTCTAAAAATCAAGGATCATGCCTGCCTGGCAAGTGCAAAGTCCTAGGTTGGATTCCTGATACAAAAAAAAAATCAAGGATCAGGTCATGTAGTCCATGGTCACTGGACCATTTCACATTTGTGCAAGATTCCCTACACTTCTTAAACTGAGGGCCTCTTGATCTGGAATAGTCTATTCTATAAACATAAAATAAGCCAGGCCAGTTAACTAGGGGTATTGGGATTGTTATGAGGCTAAGAGAATGTGGTGAAAGGTCAGAAGCCATAGGAAGATGTCTTTCAGACTTTTCCTTTCACACAGAGATAACAATTATTCATGTACACAGGAAACACCACTATATCTAATTTTAGGAAACAAACATTAGTGGATACAAGAGATCAGATAAATGTAAACACAACTAGAATGTGGGACCTATCACCTTTTCCCCTTTTTGGAAGGGATTCAATTTTTCAAAATTCTTCTTAGTATTGATGTTCCCACAGTTGTGTACCACATGGTAGGCAAAGGCTCCTCCTCTAAGAAGGAAAAAATATTAAATATTATGCCATTTAAGTGGAGTAAGAGGGTAAATGCAAACAAGTTCACATTTTAGCCACTCTGGGAGAAGTCCATCCTCTGATAATTCAATGTTTATGACATTGATTCATTGATATTTACTAGCCACAGGACACTGTGTGCTAGGCCATGTATTCGGTTTGGCTTTTTAGTGCTTCTCACCTGTAATGTTTGAAAATGCATGATATGGGGTGAGGCAGCTCCCAAGTAATAAGAAAATGAACATCTGAAGCTCAATTGCTGTTTTCCTCTTTGTGTACCACTCCTTCAGGTATAAATAGGGGAAGAGAATTGCAGTGAGGGTAAACCTTTCAGCACTTTCAATGGTAACAGCTGCTGCAGCAATCACAGCATGTTTGCCACCACTGCAGTAAGGAATGAGAAGGTAGTATATTTGGACATTCCCAAGGCTGCAAGCCAAATGTCATTAGACATTTATTTTTATTTCTGATTGTTCCAGCACTCCTGAGTTAATAATAACTTACACATATAGAATCATGTCTCGGGCTGGGGATACAGCTCACTGGCACAAGCACCTGCCTGGCAAGCACAAGGGCCTGAGTTCAGTCCCTAGTACCAAAGCAAAAAGAAAAATATAAAAAATAAATTAATAAATGAAATACTGCCTCTATTTTTACTCCCCATGACAGGCTAAATAGTGATCTACAAGGTCGTCCTTATCTCAGTCTTTGGTGTGTTAATTTATATGCCAAAGGGACTTTGCAGATGTGGTTAATTTAAGAATTTCAGATAGAAAGATTATCCTGAATAATCCTTATAGGAGGGAGGCAAGATTGTCAGACTCAGAGAGAGATGTACAGATGAAAGTCAAGATGAGAGAGGAGAGAGGATGCTACATTCTCCGATGGTACTGAAGATTGAGGAAGGTGCCACAGCACAAGGAATGCAGTTGGCCTCAGGAAGGTTTTAAAAGAGTCATGGAGGTGGATTCTTCAAACCTCCAGAATAGGCTGGCCTGGCAATGCCTTCACTTGCCCCTCAATGAATCTGATCTTGGATTTCTGTCATCTAGAACTGTAACAGAGTACTGTGCTATTTTAATCCAGAGTTTGCACGTACTTGTCATAGCTGCACTATGAAACTAACAAACAGCCATGTGTTCTCTGAAAACAAAACACAGGAAACAACTTTGTTTTTTTCACCTGTGCCATTTCTTTGAGGTATGCATCAATAAAGTCTCTCATCACATCAGGATTCCAGTCTCTCTTGTGATTTTCAATCACATGAGAAACAAATACTTTTAGTTTGTCCCAGTCTCTGAAGAGAGTTTGATGAGGTCCAGGAAGGAACTTCATTATCCCCGGACAGACATTGTAGAGCTAATTGAGAGAAACAAAATAATTGTGGAGAAAAAGTGCTATTTTTGAACTTTTCATGATCACCTTCTTCCATCTCTTTAATTAGCTCGCACTTACACTTTAGTGTCACCTTGAACGCCTCTTTTCTCTCTCATCTCTGTTGAAGGAATTTCAATTCTCCATCCAACATATACTGAGCTTCAGACCACTTCTCACTGCCCTGCACGTGCTTGCCACACTACTGCAAAGTACTAGCTTGTTCCAGGTAGGGGTACTTGGATGTTGACATTGCTTTAATATTTCCTGATTCCTCTCTTAACCGATTCCCAGCCTACTGTTCTATGCAGCTGCCAGAGGGATCCTTAAACATTCTGACCACATGGTTTTCTTCCTTAGTTATCAATTGTCCAATTGCTTTTCCTTATACTAAAGACCAAAGTCACTCCTTTGGCCTATAAGCACTATAGCACTGGTCCCTACAGATCGGCCACTTGTTTTCTGTGATTTTTCTGATTTATTGTCCTTCATGGAGGTATCACTAATTGTGATTCCATGCCCATGCAATGGATTGTATATGGTGGTCTTGACTAGTATGCTGAAATCTCCATTTGGGTAAGACTTGGTATTTTATACAGAAATAAACTGCTGGTGAGAGGAACATAAGTGAGAAGTGAATAGAAGAATGAAATACGTATGTCTGGACTCCAAATGAGACAGATATCGCTGTGAGTACTCTGCTACTTTCTAGTTATAATACTTTGATAATAGTTATAATCATATAATAATTTACTTTTTGATCCTTCAACTAGCTTCTAATTAAAGGGCGCACCTCCTGATGAGGTCCTAGGGTGACTCTGCAGACTGCATGACAGGAGATACATACGGTACATAACACAGCAAGTGTAGACTGTTGTCTCATTTGCTTCCACATTCAGATATCAGCTTGCATACATGTTGCTTTGTTTCATTTTTATGGGATTGTTGTGAAAATTACCAGAGATAAAGTGTGCTGAATTGCCCATCAAAATGTCTGGTATACTTGCAGACTCCAAGAAATGTTTATTAGCCCTACCCTATCACCCTGTTTATTTCCCTCCCAAGAATTTCCTTTTCCCTAGGCAACCATTAAACCCTCCTGATGTTCTAGCTCTCTCTTAATAGGAGGAAAGCAAATGGAACTGCTGGACTTGGGACTTCCATGACTAGGAGTGAGGATAAAGGACACAAAGCAACTTTGAAAGTAATTAAAATGGTTCACATTTATTGTACCCTTTCTATTTACCAGGAGTCATCCTAATCCAGCAATCAGTTTTCGGTAATGCTTCAAGCTCCAGAAAGAGACACTGGTCAGGAACCAGTACAAGTAGTTCTGAAATATTTACCTTTCTTTTATGCCTACATATATATGCAAGAAAAGTAGGACGTGTCTGTGTGAACACCTGCACAGCAATGCTAATACCAATTTATTCATAGCATTCAATACCTGGAAACAACTGAAAGGCCAGCAGTAAAACACTGATTAATCACTGAAGTGTATTCATACAACAGAATGTTAGTTTGTGTAAAAAAAAGATTCAGATGAATCTCAGAAAACCTGCTGAATGTGAAACTGCATGCAGAAAAATGCCCCCGAGGGACAAAAGATAGGAGTACATAGGGTAGAACGTGGAGAACAGAGAGACTCAAAGGCAAGAACAATATTGTTGTTCAGTTAAAAAGACCAATATAGATGCAGGTCATGTAAAATTCTGTAATTTATGTGAATGATATAAATATTTTTATATATAGTAAGTCTTTAATAATTAAAAATGCTAGTTAGACATGGTGGTCATACTTGTAAACCCAGCACTCAGGAGGCTGAGGCAACACAATCATTGCAACTTCAAGGTCAGCCAGAGCTACATATTGAGTTCAAGGTCAGCCCAGATGACATAGCAAAATCCTGTCTGAAAAAAAAAAAAAAACAGAAAGAAAAGAAGGAATGAAAGCAAGCAAGCAAGCAAGCAAAACAAAGAATGAAAGAAAGAAGAAGATAGAATGAAAGAAAGAAGAAAGAAAGAAAGAACATAGAATGAAAGAAAGAAAGAAAGAAAGAAAGAAAGAAAGAAAGAAAGAAAGAAAGAGAAAGAAAGAAAGAAAGGGAAAAATATTAGCATTGTGCTGGGGAGTGTAGCTTAGTGGTTAAATGCTTGCCTACTGAGCCTGAGACCCTGGGTTCAATGACCAATTCCAGTACAAAAAAAAAGAAAAGAATGACTCAACCTAACAGATCCATTTTAAGTAGTTTTTGTTAAATTCAATAATAAATTGTTGTACTTTTCATTAAAACAGCAAGAAAACCGAAAGGAAGAACCCGTTTGAGCCTGACATCAACCCTATAATCCCACACAAGGTGCAGGAGGACAAGCGCTTACTTGGCACAGAGGAGATGCTTCCAAAAGAGTAACCTCATCCAATAAGCTCAGCAGCTCCTGAAACTGACCGTCTTCGTAGTCAAAGCGCTCCCCAAAGATGATAGAGCAAATTATATTGGAAACTGCATTGTTGATCTTGAAGTGAGGGTTGAAAGGCTGTCCTGGAGGTGGAGGAAGGAAGAGATGGGTCCTTCAAAAACCACTGATTTGTCTCTATGTTCTACAGAAATTCGGTTCTAGAGACCTACTAGAGAACCATATTTGAAGCTCTAGCCACAGCATCTAAGATACAGTAAGGTCTTGTTGACTGTCATGGTAATTACATTTATGATCACTGTTTAAATTTAGTAACATGCTTCCTGCATGTATAACTGTGTCCTCTTTAAAGACATTGTCATTGGAAGGTGGTCACTATTCCATCCCAGGGCCTAACACAGTGCTGGGCATTGAGGTTGGATCTAGGCTCTCAGTAAGGATCTGTTCCATGAATGGATGGTGTGAACGCCCCAAACCTGAACTCTGAAATGCTCACCATTCTCCTCTGCTATGACCTCAGCAAGGTGGTGGGCTTCCTCCTGGATGCGTTCCTCTCAGCTCTTCTTTCCTAAGCCAAAGTTCCTTAGTGTGGTTAGGGCAAACCTTCTTTGTTCCTTCCATATTTGGCCACTGGACAGGATCAGTCCTGGGGAAACGAAAGCCAGCATTATGGTATTCTGATACTATCATGATAATTCCTGCTAACTGTACACACATGTGCATCATATAAAAAGGAGAAGGGACATTAACACACTTGAAATTTATGCAGAGACATTCTCCCAGAGCAATGCACATAATTCTGACATGTACTAACATTTACTAGCTGCTCGCACTTGAGTATTTTTATGTATTTTGTAATTTGGTGCTCACAGAAACTACACAACATAGTTTTACATAGCATCAACTCCGGCCTATTTCACTGAAGAGAAATCTAAGGAACTAGGAATTGAGGATAAAGTGCACATTGCAAGGTAACACAGTTCATAAGCAGATGTTCAAATTCTAGTCTGCCTGTATTGGAACCCCATGCTTTGGTTAGAAGTCAGATAAGTTCAGTTAAATATTAGTGTGAAGCTAAAGATCTGTAATGAAGACAAGGTGAAGCCAAAGCCCACAGACATAGAAGGCACAAAAAGGCTTTACAGGAGAAGTCCTATCTGAGCTGGGCCTGAAACGATGAAGAATTATTCAAGAAAGCAGAAGGAATGAATGTCTCACCAGAAAGAACAGCACAGGCAAAGTGCAGAACACCTTACTGTGTTCCATAAAACATTTGTTCCATGATACAGGCAATGCCAGGTGCTCTTTATATGTCTTTCTTTCTAGAGCACCCTTCAATTTCTTTATGTGCCTGTTTTGGACCTTCACTATCACATTAAAATGGTCCTGTTTGCTGCGAATCCCGTGAAATCTCCAAATTCATCTCATGTGTTCTTTCCTCAGCTCTACACACTTCGTGTTCTGCTTTGGCTTCAGGGTTTTTTTTGTCGTTTTGAGACAAGGTCATGTTATGTAGTACAGGTTGCTCTTGAATTCACTTTCTAGCTCAGGCTGGCCTTGAACTCACAGCAATCGTCCTGCCTCAGCCTCCTGAGTGCTGGGATTACAGGTGTGAGCCACCATGCCCAGTTTCACACTTCTTGTTTGAATGACTCTTTTCCAGTAGAGGTCAGTGTAGCACACAGACATATATTTCCCAAATCTCTGTGAGCAATTTGTCACCTCATTTTGTGGTTTATTTTCTTCTATGAACTCTTCATGATTAGGTCTCCAGCCTCCTTTCTTCTCACCCTACATTTCCACCCAAAATCTTATCAAGTCCTATAATTTTAAACAATAACTAGTGCTGGAAACCATCTGTTACCATCCCAGAACTCTATATTCATTACGCAATGAATGCTTGACACTTGCCTTTACCAATTTAAAGCACTGTAAACTTGGCACATCCATCCTTAAGTTCTTAACTTTAACCATGTACCCCCCAAAAAGCCAAACCTACCCAAATACCTTCTTCTCCTAAGTGTTCCTCTTTCCATCAGGTACCTGTGTGAGAAACATCTCAACCCTTGTTGTCCTACAGCGCAGTCATTGTGTGTTATTAGGTTTAGCTAATCATGACCTGGAATCCATGCATGTCACCATTACCATCCTTTCCTAACATACTGTCATTTCTTCCTTCCTTCCTCATCTAAGCTGTCATTTTCTCTAAACTAAAATCTACAAAGTTCTCTTGAGATACTGTACTCTTGTCATACTATCATAGTGAGTCTTAATAATGTACTTTGCATGATTTTTTCTCCATTTAAAAACATTCAAGAGCTTAAAACACTGTCCTTAGCATAAAAACCAATGTTCTTTACAAAAACTTGCAAGGGCTATTCCTAGTTAGGTAGTTTTAACTCCGTTTAATTATCTTTACAACACTGAGCTTGCATCACTGGATACTTTTATTTCCTCAGGTTCTTTGACCTTATTCTCATGGTAGGGACTCTTCTTATTACACTTACCTTGACTGAGTGCTGTTTTTCAATTTATTAAATAAATTGTCTTTCCTCATATCAACTTTCCCTAAACTCCAAGACTACATTTGAACTTCCAGTAAGTGTCTCTTGGACTTACCCGTCTTTTATTATTGGAGTTCATGGGTGCTGTGCTTCTCTCTCAATAGAATGACAGTTACAAAGGGCATGTACACTAACTGTCCTTCTCATTCTTCTACTGTTTATTTGTACCACTGGTTCCCATGGCAGTAAAGGCATGTAGAATGCATGGACTATTTCAAAGGGAAATTTGAAGCATCTGTAAAGGATGCTCTGGTGGTTTAATAAACTGAGGTTTGACTCCCAAGTTCAAATGTTTAAATTTACTTAATGATGATCTTAATTATCCATGCCAACCTGTTCTAATATGCATGAAAGTATTAGATACACTGTCTGCTATGGCCTTAAAAATAGAGCATAAAAAACTGGAGGCAAGCAGAGGCAGGAGCAGAATGAAGCAGAATCACACCCATTTTCCTAAGGGAAGAGGTTAGAGTGGGGAAGCGCATTGCCTCCTCCTCTGATGGGAACGCTGAGGTGGTCACTTTATCATCCCCGCATGCAGAGGAGTCCTGGAGGATGTGTGGGCTCTTCCAGATCCCCATCAAGGCTGCTGCTCTCAAGCGCTCTGAGGAGGTGCTCCAGGAAGGAAATGCAAGCACTCGGTTTCCTCCGATGGACAAAACTTCATAATGTTGCTGGCTTGAAGCAGTTTAAGAAAATTATAGTCACAGATGCACTTGTACTCTACCATGCGCATTTCAAACATGCTTACTATGGTCAAGAAACTTACCATTTTTACCAAATGCACGTTCTCGAATAGGGGTCAGGGGGCGGTTCATAAAGTTCTGGCCCGTGTGGGTAAGGACTTCTCTGATTAAGGGCAGTCCAGTTACGAGTACTACAGGGATGCCGGCAAAGTCCATACCAATAAGGTTACCATATTTCTTCACATACTAAAAAACAGTAAGATAGTCTCAGTTGAATATGCACTGGTGTACATGTCCAGGGATGCAGGGTGAGTATACCAAAAGGACTTCTCATGAAGGGATTCTGGGTGTGTGTGAGCAGTGGCTGCACCTTGGCTCTGAGGGATGTATTTCTGAATTATTTCCCTTCTCTCAATCAAGTCAAATTCAATACACTCCAGGATTGAAGTTCCCTTAAAAGTGTATTCACATCTTCAACCTATGAACTGAGTGAGCATCTACCTTAGAGGAGACATCAGGATACAACCACCATAAAATAAACAGTGTTTCTAACCTGACATATCCTAGAATCCAGTGAAGACAGAGAAGTCAGCACACCTGGCCTGCTGAAGAAGGATGAGATGGGTTTATTCTAAGTCAGTTGTAGCAAAGGTAGACTTCTTAGTGAAGCAGCCTGAGAAGAGTGCTCCCATTCCCAGGACGTGCTAGTGAGTGGGAAGTGTGCTGGAGTGCGGAGGCAGAAATCCAGCAGTCCCTGTGTTTCTAGTGTTATGTGAGGACTGGGCTCTGTGGTTCGTAGCAGTGGGCTCTTGGGGAAGACACTTCACTTTCTGAGCCTTAGTTCCTCAGCTGAAAAAGAGAATATCATTTCTCAAAGTCTTCTGTGGAGAAGAATGAGGCCAACAAGGTGAAAGTCATTTTCCTTTCTGGAATAGTGAGACTGTAGACCTTCACAATCCAATGAAATAGCTGTATTTTGTTTGTTTTCTAATTGTTTTCCAGTTAGAAGCCTGAAGATGTTTGAGTAGGAGGGGTGGTATAATGAGAGCTGAACTGTCTGAACTTTGGAACTCTATGAAGGGCACTAAAGAGACATGTTTGAAGTCTCCTTGGTAAAAAAAAGGCTGATAGGGAGGCAGAAAGGGCAGCTGTACAGCCCTCTAAGATTCAGACCCTATTTCCAGTTCTTGAGGAACCATTCTACCAGTCTATACTTCTCAGGAAGATAAAAGGGCTTCCGGACAAGGGAAAATTAAAAGAGATATTGGTGGAAGTTAAAAACAAACTAGTCTTCCCTCAAGGGACAGTGGAAGACTATAAAAACGTTTCTTGAGTCTTTCTATATAGGAAGAGATGCTATATTGGAAATGGCCTCTTGAGTTTGCCCGGGACTAATAGTGGCAGCCATTCCACAGGTCTGCAAAGCTTACAAGGTCTATGGCTACAACAACCTGGGCAAGACAAACCACCTCCTTCATTAGAACCTGTGTGGAGGAGAGCACATACCCTGGAGAACACTGAGAAATAGACTTCTCCCATATGTGCACATGTAGAGGATTGAAACAAATGTTGATCCTAACTGACACCTTTATAGGCTGGATTCAAGCCTTTCCTACCCATTCAAAAAGGCTACTGAGGTCGTCTATGTGCTTGGTAAAGAAATCATCCCCAGGTTTGGACTATCACAGTCTCTCCAGAGTGACAATGGACCTGCCTTTACCTCTCAAATAATTCAGGGTGTGGCACAGGCTTTAGGAATTAAATACTACCTCCATTCCTCTTGGTAGCACTGATCTTCTGGATAGGTAGAGAGAACCAACCAGACCCTAAAGCCAACTCTGGCAAAACTTTGCCAAGAGCTCTCTCACTTCTGGCACTTAGTGCTATCAATAGCACTCATGAGGGCTGTAACATGGACAAACTGGGCTGAGTTTGAGCCCTTTTGAGACCTTACATGGAAGGTCATTTCTAGCCTCTGATGTGATTTTAGCCCAGAGGCTATGAGTGTCACAGTAACTATCTCACCAATCTGGGCTAAGTGCCATAGACTGTGCAAATGTATGAGAACAGTCCTGCAAGCTCCTGGCCCAGAGGCACCACCTGGAGTCTTCCCTGGAGATCAAGTGCTTATGAAATCTTGGAGACAGGGAGTACCAGCAGACCAGTAAACGCCAATATAGAAGGGCTCATTTTCAGTGATCCTGTGACACCAACTGCATTAAGGTGGCAGACATAGATAAGTGGATTCATTTTTCTAGATTAAACCTAGTCCCACTTGAAGTGTCTGAAAA